CGTGTTCGGGCCACTCGGTCCTCACTCACACACACTGGGAGCAGCATGGACGCTGACTTCCTGCACCCAGCTCACACTAACACACACACACACACACACACACACACACACACACACACACACACACACACACACACACAGCTGCGCCTTAAAGAGTCAATTAGCTGACGGAAACTTGACGACTACTCATTTTTTAGAGACGGAACGCGTTTCCTCCAGAGCTCTGACATCCACAGCACAATGCCATTTAATAAAAACATTATCAGACTTAATATCGCCCATCCGCTGACTCAGCACTTTGTCTCGCCGTTAATTACGACATCACGTCTCTTAATGAAAACCCGCCGCGCGCTCGCGTGTTTGTCTGCTTTAATGAAAACATCCTGCGTTTCCTCATAATCACAAACGAGGCCTTTATTGAGAAAAAAAAAAAAAAAAAAGAGTACACCTGTTAGGGTGACTACCTGGAGAGTAAAGAATAGGCTTCTACACACACACACACACACACACACCGTACACAGGAGGCGCACAAAGAGAAAGGAAATAAATGACTGCTCAGCTATATTGTGATCATTAATTAAATTAATTAGCACGACTCTTTTGTTGTTCCACCCCCTGGTCCTCACACCAGCCTGATTCCCACCAGGACCACAGAGGAATAATAGTAATAATAAGAAGAAATGACAGAGATCCACCATTTCTCTGTTCGCATGCTTGTCTTTTTCCCCATTTACATTAAAAATATATGTTTTAAATGTAATCCATATTAAACTGTGGTAATCATAGTACTGTAACTGCTGCTCCACTGCTGATACCTGAACACACCATCATTCAGTCCAGCATCCTCACTTTTACATTTTTTCCTTCTCTCTTTTTTTAAAATGTGACTTTTTTTGCATCCTTTCTTGTCTCTGCAGAAACTGTGAAACAATGAATTTGTCAGCCTGCAACTCAGAGACGTCCGTTTCTGTCATTTCCTGTTTAAATTTAAAATTTATGCTTTTACTTTTTATACTTCTGCACCACTGGAGCTGTCTTTTAATTTCGTTGTACCTTGTGAATGATGACAATAAAATAATTCTATTCTGTTCTATTCTATTTTAAATATGAAAATGAATTTAGCATCAGCGTGAAACAACGATTAAAGAATGAATTTTTCTATAAGTGCAGCTGCATCTGGTCAGCTTCAGACCTGATGACGGGAACGCTGCCCTCTGTGTGTGAGAGAAGCTTCACATCAAACACATCTGGTTTGGCTGGATGCAGATTCTACATGTTGTACCAGTTACTTATTCTAACACAGCAGCAGAAACCAGACCAGATCAGCTGATGTCCTACCGTTGTCGCTGTCCGACTTGTTCTCGTGCTCGGTGTCGGTCAGAGTCAGCACCGAGTTGGAGCGGCTGGACAGGCAGGAGCTTCTCCCGGACGACTTCCCGACGCCCCCGCGGCCCCACAGCCGCATGGCGCGCTCCGGCGACATCACCGCCTGGCTGTCGGCGTCCAGGTCCTGGGCCGTGCCGACGGAGAAGCCGCGGTGGGGGAGGCCCATGTCGGTGCAGAAGGCCAGGCCGCGGCGCGGCGGCGGCTCGCAGATGCCCAGCTGGCGGAGGCTGAAGTGTTGACCTGGAACAGACGGAGGGATGGGCCATTGTCTGGCTGTGGTTGAAACGGTTAACAACGGTTCACCACCAGAAGACGACACAGCTTTAACTTCCTGGTTTAGTTTGATCAACAGCAATGATTTTCAATGTTGTAAATAGACAGAAACAAACCCTGTTCTATGTACAGCGCCCTCCATAATTATGGTGACGATGTGTTAAAAGCCTTAAAATAAATTCAGTCCTTATTGCAGCAGCATCCTCTCACAGCTGTAGAATAATTTAACCTTCAACTCAGATGAATTGTGGCCAAAGCAGGTTGTTCAGAGTGAACATCCAGGCTGCTGATAACTGGAACATGATCTGATGTAAAATAATTATTTTTTAATGTGGGATTTTTCCACACTGAATAAATGCACTTGAATTAAAGGTTGAATTTTCCTCTTTTTGTTTTCATTGTGGTTCTATATTATTTAGAAAAAACTGACTTTCCTAGAAGCTAAAGAACACATGTGAACCAGTAATTATGGAGGGCTGTACGCTATGTGTAAATGCTAATACATGCACTAAACTCACATCAGTAACTCTCGTGTTTAACGGGTTGATTTATACGTATACAGGTCCACTACCTCTGTGTCATATACACGTGGCTTTTATTTAATTTAATCTCTTTATATAGAGGTTATATATATTTGTTTTATATTGTATGCAGATGTTTGACAGAGCTTTTCTATTTCTGTTGCTGCTCTGAAAGGCCTCCACCTTCCTTCTCCTTGTTCTCGCTGCAACGACAATAAAACGAATCTGAATCTTCACTGAATGTTTTAATGAATGTTTTGTCTTGATGGTCTCACATGTTTTTGTTTTTATGTTGTTTTATTTTTGTTATTTTATTATTTATGTACTCTGCACTGAAGGACGACACTTTAATTACTCGTATAATGACGATAACGACGTTCTTCTGATTCTGACGTGAAGCTGGATAATAATAATAATAATTTGATATTGTTGCTGGATGAACTTTTTGGATTAATCAAAATGTATATCAGCTAATTTTCTGCTCATCAATCACTCCGTTTTTAGACCAACCATGTCGCCTGTTACTGACTCCATGTGATGGAGTGTGTGGGGAAGTAGATTTTCTTCTTTTTCCTTTTCTTTTCTTTTCTATCTTTCTTTTTTTTTTATTAATAAATAAAAACAAAATATTCAAAAACAAATAAATACAGAAACATGAATATTATATCTTATATATCTTATACTGTAGCAGATAAGATAAAGCTGAAGGTGTGCGTACAGACTCCTTCAATCCAATTAACTATGATTAGAAATGCAACGGGTAGAATTTCATCATCTCTAAAAATGTAATTTTACTTTTACAACAATTAAAATCCTCGTTACACTCAGCAATACGGGATGTCTGCTCGGCCTTTTTCTGATCACATTTCCTGCAACCATTTATTTACAGATGTCGCCTAAAAAGCAGAAAGAAAATGTTTGTAATTTGCCCGACAATTCATAAGTATTCCAAGGAAAGTATGACACGAGCTAATTCAGAATTCCTCCGTTGACTCTAACAGGTCATCCTCAGTAATTCTTCCACATCGACCTGAAAACAGGTTCGAATGACACGATTCCTCAAAGTACAAATGAAAAGACGACAAATCGTCGGTGAAATCTCGCCGCGCGCCTCTCCATCTTTAATCAGCAAATGAAAAGGGAAATTATAAAAGCTTTCTGTAATTAATGGCACAACAAGAGATAACGAGTGCTGCCGTTCAATTAAAAGTTATATTAATTTTAAATGAGCTCCAATTAGGACGGCGGTGAAAAAGAAGGCGATAAGATGATTGAGTAATTATGATTTCTTCACTCCTCAAATATTGACGCTCTGTTAATTGGAGCTGGAGAACAATGGATGCACCCTGTGGTTCAGCATTCTGGCTTCTCATTTGCTTTTTTTAAAATGTATTTATTTTTCTTCACCTTTTTTTAAATTTATTTCGCTTGAATGAGTCATTCTAACCTTTATGCTGTTTTTAGCGTTTCATTTCCCGAATTACTACTCAAAGCAATTTTTATCTATTTTTAAATTCACAAAATTTCAAACAAACACGTCCAAATATTAACATTTTTAAAAGAGACTTATTTTTGGATTAAAACACTTGAGATTTATATTTACTTTAAATGCATTTGCCAATTATTGATGTGTGCAATCGTAAATTAAGGGAATTTTTAAATCCAGTTTATATTAAATTATGATTTAAATAAAAAAACACATAAAAACATTTTCAAAAAATTTAAAAAATGTACATGACAAGCGAAGGAGCTACTGGCAGTTTACAGTGTGTGTGTGTGTGTGTGTGTGTGTGTGTGTGTGTGTGTGGACTCCTACCTTGCCTGCTGTAGTCGTCCTGCTCGCGGTGAACCATGTCCTTGTGGCCCTTGGTCGTCCCGTACAGCAACCTGTCACAAACCAAGGACACACAGTCCTCTGCTGAGCTAATACAATAAAAGGTAGTGCTTCAGGATGAACCCAGAGACGCTGCAGCCTGAGCTCTGACCCTCTGTTGGCTCCGTCGGCACCATATCAGCTAAAATTACCGTTGGCCATCAAACAGGACGGGTGTGTGGTTAACGAAACCAACGGCAGCAACGCTTGTTGGTTCGTTTCCACAGAGATTATTATCCTGATGGTATGAAACACTTCACTGGTGATTTCCAGCCTCTTACAGCAGATATGTAGATGATGCATAATGCAGCATTAGGTGATGGTTACCACTGGTCTGCAGTTTGAGTCGTGTAATTAACTGGTTCTACTGGTCTCCACTGGTTAATCAAGGTTTACTGGAAAAAATGAGCTCTCTGATAAAAAAAAAAAAAAAAAGAAACAGACTTAAGGTAACTCAACCTCCAATAAAATCACTGCACATTACAAGTTGCTCATATATCTATTCATAATTAACTAGCATTCATTTTTATGTACAGAACGCCTTTGACTTCCTCCAACGGCTCAGGCAGCTAACGACGCTTTAGCAGGAGGTGTGTGATCTCACCTGGTCTGGTCTTGGTGCTGGTCGAAGGCCTTGAGCGTTTCGCTGGAGGAGTAGGACTTCTGAGTGGGAACCCGGAGTCCCTGAGGGCCGATGGCACAGTCCTCGCTGTCCCCCGATGAACCTAGCACACATGGACGAGGACATACAGGATCAACACCACTGGAGCTCAGGCAGCAACAGCTCCAGGTCTCTGTTTGAACACTGTTTAGAAATGTTTCCTGTCTCGTCATCCAACTGCAGGGCGTCCAGTTAGCTGGAGGTACATATAAACAGGATTACAACAGGGTGCAGATGGTGCCAGTTTACTGCAGGAGCTGAAAAGTCAGATGATTCTGCAGGAGCATCATCTCTCAGCACCCCTCTTGGTCGGATCGACAATGTTCAGTCTCATCATGTTTGTCTCAAGTCACACAGGGAGAGAAATAAAAAAACCCGACTGACGGACAGGCTGAACCAAACAGGGAGTAACTGCATGTAGGCACAACTCTGGGAAACACAGTGAAACAAAGGCTGGAATCTATAAACACAGACTGACTTTATTAGCCGACAGTTCTTCAGTCTCTTACAAACAAGTTTGTCTCGTTAGGTTTGGTAGAACATGACCCACGTTTGATGAAGGTGAAAGTCTCGATGCCACGCTGCTGTGAAACCTTGACTGGCAGTCAGATGTTCAGCGTTTCATTCTGTGCTGAAGGTTTACAGGCGTCACGGATCGTTCTGTCCACAGAAACCAGGCTAGAAAATATTCACTCACGGCCTTTTGTTCAAAACTAAAGTAAAGAAATAAATTACTAGAACTGTGGCACTAATTCAGAAACGATACGCCTTCATCAGACAAACTGTCTGAATCAGCAGAAAGTAAATCCCAAATTCACAGTGGAAGCAACAAGAACCTACAAATGATAGAAATGCAGGCAGCGTGTGGATATCTGAGTCAACATTTCTTTCCGTTTCAACTCGTCCTCCTCCTCCAACACTAAACCCAGATGACGAACGGTAGTTTAGTGCACGAGCGGGCGAATCCGGCGTGGATTTGCTGGATTAACGGAGGACAGTCAGTCTGTTGGATCGCTGCAGAGCTGTGACACGGAAACGCTACGAGTGCAAAAAGATCTGCAACCACAGAGGCCAACGAAGGCGGCGGCGTGGAGACGGCACGCTGAGAAGGCGTTTAAACAAGCAAAAACTAGAATAAAACGATTTCTCTTCAATAAAACTAAAACTTGTGCTTTATTCTGTCAAGTAACATAAAAGTAATTAAAACTATTTAAACTTAGGCTGCATGAATAGTCAGTGTATTAAATGACTGGTCACCTGTGATCTGATCTAGTGACTGAGGCGACGTCTCACTGATGGATGAAGACGCCTCAGCGTGACCGGACAGAAGGCAAGCTGATCAAAAACAACTAGAGTCAGCAAAGGTGAACCAGAATCTAAAAGGGCAACAACGACGACACGGGGAGGAAAGAAACCAAGTCACCAGAAGTACAGCAGGTCAAAGGGAGAACTCAGGCAGCAAACTGAGCTTCAGCAAAAAGCTTCTCTTGTAGGTTCTTTTCTAACAAACACCTGTCTGATCTACCTGATGAGCGTGTTGCCGGGGACACGAGCAGGTGTCGTGTGAAGCCGTCTGGATGAGCAGCTCTCAGAAACAGAAGCTACAGTCGGTGACAGCGACAGAAGTCACTGATTCCATCCTCCTCTCCCACCATCGTCTTTAGACAGAGAGCAGCATCGTGGAGCTCTGTGAGTGGACATGGCTGATCACTACAGCACACCTGAAGCGACCCAGAGCGCTGTGGGCAGTGACAGACAGCACCGACCCGTTTACTTTGCATTAGGCTTACCAACACCAGGAACATGTTCTGTTCGTGCTCTCGCCTAAAACAGTCCTCTCTGCACTGCTGCTGGTATCATACATGATCATACAGAGTAAAACTGGACTAGAACCAGCTGATCAAAGCTGTGGAAACACTGGTGGATCCGACCGCCGTCTGACGCTGCAGGTCTGTAAGAAAATGGTTCCAAACATCTGGAAACTAAACTGTTGTCTGTGTGTGACGGCTCATGTGTCCATGTGAAGTCCTACACGGTGAGACCTGCCGTCAGGTTCTGGTTCAGACTGATCCGCTCTCTCTGCACAAACTTATAATTATAAGAGTTTAATTAAATTATCAGCACATGCAAATGTGCACAGCTCTGTCTCTTTGCAGACTCACATCTGGATGTGGTGCTGCAGGTGGTTAATAAAGTCAGAGACAACAGCTCCAAACAGCTGGAAGAAGCAAACTCCATTCATTACTGGTGAGTCATTCATCTTTAAGCTGCGTCTGCTTCCATCACACGACGGTTTTACTGTTATGGACGTTTTATTTTGTTGCCTCGTACGTTTGAAATTGTCGAGCAAAGCGATGATGTGAAAAACTTTTTGGCACAAAAACCGTTTAATAAGCATCTCTGTCATGTTTTCAGGCGCTGAAATGTGGAAAAATCCTCCCCCGAAATCCCTTCACACAGCTCAGAGTGCTGCTGGTCGCCTCCTTATTAGTGTGACGGTTCTGTTCAGACACGTTGAAAGTGACATAGAAATGTTACCGAGTCCGATCCAGCAATATAGAATCACTGATAAAAGCAGAAAGCACCCAAATAAAGCAGGAGGCTATAAAACTTACATAAAGGAAAAGCTCTCCGATAAAAATATGTTTTAAAAAGGGAGCCATAGAATCAGCCGACCCGACTTCCTCGGGCAGGTCGTTCTAGAAAATGCTCCGTCCCCCTTCAGCCGGGCCTCTGGGGCAGTTAACAGACCTTCTGCCCGAGGATCGCAGGGAGAGTACGGTGTTAAAAGGTCGGCAGTGTAAGTGGGACAGAGACCGCTGAGTGCTTTAAAAGTGATTAATAAAATCTCAACATCAATCCTAAAACCTACTGGCATGAAATCGAGGTGCACATCCAGAGAGGAAGCCTGCACGCTAAACTGATCGACAGTGTGTGGATGGAAGGGGCTCATACGTGTCGTCTAACGTTGTCATCGAGCACCACTGGTGGTCTTTGTAATCACAGCAACATCTGTCAAAGATATTGTGCAGTATCTAGTGGAAGAAGTCCACCTGGTGTGTGAACATCTCTCAACTCCAGCCCAGAAACGGATCTTTTAATGGAACGAGTGACTCAGTGACTGACTCACCTAATGAATGACGGCAGGAACAAGCGACTAAATGAGTGGATGTATGGATGCTCGAGCTAAACCGAGCTCACCAGTGTACGGTCCCTCCTTGTCCTTCCGGCTCTTGGTGAGTGAGCAGTACGGGCGTCGCTCTTTCACTTCCATAATGCTTCTGCTTGTGCTGCTGGCAAACATACAGGCATGCTGCTGTACAGCTGCAGAGACACAAAGACAGAGAAAGAGAAGGAGATAAAGGAGGAGAAAAAAAGAGCAAGAGAGAGTCAGACAGAGAGTCAGGTGTCGTCGGACTCCACCTGCAAACACACAAGTGACAGAAAAGCTGTTGTCAATAACAAATCCCACAAATTAAAAAAACCAGCATGCTCAGGCGGTGTGTTTGCACTGAAAAGACACATTTTGTGAGCGGTATGAGTATCCATCCATCCATCCATCCATCCATCCATCCGTCCATCCATCCATCCATCATCTCTACACCTTAATCCTCACCAGGGTCATGGGGGGCGGAGCCTATCCCAGCTGACTCAGGGTGAAGGCAGGTTCACCTGGACAGGTAACCAGTCTATCACAGGGCTACACTTAGAGACAGACAACCAAGCACACTCACATTCACACCTACGGACAATTTACAATCACCAATTAACCTCAGCATGTTTCTGGACTGTGGGAGGAAGCCGGAGAACCCGGAGAGAACCCACGCTGCACGGGGAGAACATGGAGACTCCACGCAGGAAGATCCCGGGTGTCCTCACCGGGATGCCAACCGGCAACCTTCTAGCTGTGAGGCGACGGTGCTAACCACCGAGCCACCGAGCAGCCTAGTCATATGAGGTGGAACAAAAATATTGATCTGCACGTTAAATCTAACGAACCGTCTGACGTTTACAAGTCATGTTGTCGCTTCTTTGTTTCATCCACGTATTGATTCTTCATTCATACATTTAATGTAATTTCTCAGTGTCCTGAAGAGCACCTCATACATAATTGCATTAATAAGGAGTTCACACAGATACTCTTACATCCTACAAACCATGTGGGCTCTCAACCGCTCTGACGCCTGTTTGTATTCACACAGCGTGCTGTATGAAGTAAGTGCATCCTAATGAACAGAAATAAATAGTCAACTCCCTGTTAAACTTGACGTTTCATCCCTCTCTTTAACCTGCTTTTCAGACGTCACCGTCTCTTGCCCCCTCAGGGGAATTCTCTTCTGTAAGTCTAGCGTCTAAATTTGACACTAAAAGTGAGCGAGCGAGTCAACAACTTAGCGTGTCGTATTCATGCACTGTGACAGTTCAGAGCTTCTTTGCACAAAAGAACAAACAAGTGACGGCGTATGTACGAGGCTGATGAGTAAAACCAGCACAACCGGATCACAAAGCCTCGGTGTCTCTATACAGTAGAGCTGAAGCAACACAAGATCAGCTTCTGAGAATAGATGCATTAGTTTATGTCAAACGTGCACCAAAAACAAAACATCAGAGTCAAGATCTACAAGTGATTCACCCAACAAACATACATTTAGTGTTTTACGTTTGCAGGCAGCAGTGGAGACCTCTGATAGATCCTCATGTTAATGCATGTAGCCTAATTGTACCATCTGGCATTTAATGCATGTAAACAACAACACGAGTGAGAGCAGCGGAGCGGCAGCAAAAATCCTCTCCCCACATAAAACACTCTGTAATCACTCCTCATTCTGCTCCTCCCTCGTCATTCTCTGACGAAAATCAATGATGCGCTCCAGCTTCTGTCAAATACAGTGAAATGCCCTTTAGTTGCCTTTTACGACACGACATCATGAGCACGTCTCAACTCATCCACCAAGACTTTAACCGACCTCACATCTGTTTGTTTGCTTTGTGTTTATCTGTAGGATCATAAATGGCAGATCCTTGGGTTTGGGACTGTCAGACAAAAACAAAAAAGAAGTTTGAATGGAAATGCTTCACTGTTTACTGTCACCAGATTGGTTGGTAATCGTCGTCCTTCTCTGCTTCAGCATCGTGGATATCAGCTGCTGGTTGCACTACAGGAACCCGACAAGAAGAACCTTAAATTTAAATTCTGATATTATAGCTTTCACTGATTGTTGATTCATGAATAGCACAGCTGCTCTTAAGTTGAGTAAAAAGGCAGAAGTGATCCTGAGACGGGACGGTGAGTCGATAGCAGAGGGCTGCAGGCTCGTGTGCTTCTTTAGATTAACATAAAGTCACCAGCTGCTGTCGGCTTCATAGAGATGGACCAAAAATGGAGAAAGTTGGCTCCAGAGTTTTGTTTAATGTGACCATGCAGACATCCAAGAGACAAGAGCAATGGCAGGTAGGTGTGATAAAAATGTGTTGCAATGTTCATTTTCTTGGCAAATGGTCCTTTCTGTCTAATTTCAGGATTCAATATCTTGTATTGAACGCTGAAATTAGACACAGACAGAAAAGCTGGAGAGAAAAGAAAAAAGCTGACTTGAGTCCGTTTGGCAAGATATAAAGAGACTTTAGGCAAAGCTGAGAGAGGGGGAAGTAAAGACTGCCAGTATGGGTCAGACAGCTTTATAAACCATCAACCTAATCTGAGACACTGATCCCTAAATCCTGTCCCTTCTGGACCTGCATGCATGTGTGTTATTAATAGGTGTGCTCGCGTTGTGATGCACAGAGCTGTCCACAGGAGTTGGTCTGGGAATTATTTTCTATCCTACTCAGTGTTTAAAGGATATATTATTATTATTGCTGCCAGCTTT